GCCGGAACTCATGGGGGAGGGTAAAGTACTGCATCTTTTTCTGATTTTTCCCCTATTTTATTGCTATTTTTCATTTGGAAATGCGCCCTGGACCCTGAAAACAGTGCCCGACATCGTCACCAACAGTGAGCACGACCACTGAGCTCACTGACGTACTCTACAGCCTACGTTGACGACACATCATGACTCTTGGTAAACTGTCCAGTGGGCAACTACCCATTCTGATATAAGATGTATTTTGGCAAAGTATCCATTCTGATTGCTTCAGGTAACAGCACTGGCTGGTCCTCAAGGCTCATCTTGTCTCATATCTGCCTCATTTATGGATCCGGATCCGTGGGCGATGAAGACAGGCTTCCAAAGGCAGGAAGTGTTCTGGAGAGCACTGTTGTTTGGGAATCGGGTGTACGTACCACTTGAACTATTGGTATTGCGCAGGTTGATCACAGTTCATTCTTCTGCAGTCACCTTTCAAGCTTCCATGTGGGCAAATGTAGTTGATCACCTCAATCCTCGCCGCAAATGACAGTCAAATCTACCTCCCAACCTGTAATTCTTGCGAGGGTGCCAATTGTGGTTGTAAGGCATCAAGCCAACATACTAGCGTGGGCTTCTGATACAATCCTGGCTGAGAATTTACCATGACTTAATTCGCTACGATAGCCAGGTAGTGGTTCTTACTCCTCGAGAATAATTATCAGGTGATGATTTATTTTGGCTCTATTTTGCTATCCTTGGGTCAACATTTAAAAGAAGATACATCAACGTCGTGGAAGGCAGGAAGTTCTTGGCCATTATAGCTAGTTTACCTAGGGCCGTCTGATTGGATGTTTTCTCTCGACGTTTTCTATTTGGTCCCCCTGAAGAGCAATCCGTCAAGAAGGCGTGGTGTAACATCACCTTGTCAAACAGTATAGAAGGCTCTCCTTCACCATCCAGAGTTCTTAAGTTGCTGCTGCCGCTTTTCAGTCTGCACTTCATCATGGCCCTTACATCTTTCCTCTTTCTGCTTCTTTTGCTCACTTTGCTTGCTGCTGCCAACCCAGTCGTTGTGAACTGGTCGCCAGTGACGCTGCCGTTGGCCAGATTTATCAACTTCACTGGTGTCCACAACCTCTTGCAACATGATCAGGCTTGCGCACAAGTGTTAAAGAATCGTGCCTTTGGGAGAGGCAGCACTCCAGCCGCCATCATCGATGAGCCGGCTACAAATCGCCTCGTCTCTTACATCACATCGGTTGGCTTTGGCAGTCAACTTGCCAACGAGGTAAGTACGTTCTCTAAATCTTGCAGTCAATTGCCTATCAACTCGCGTACTGATAGCACTTGATGCCTCCACCATCCATCCGCCTTGCCCTCGCAAGGCACAACACCCAGATTTACTGTGTTGTTGACCAGATTGAGTTCATTGTGCATCCTCTGCAATGTCACCATCCACAACATGAAGAACAAACCCTCCAGCACATCCTTCCTCACAAGCGGGACTGTCCAAGCCAAGTGAGGGCCGTACTGCCCAAGGGCATCCACGTGGGCCTGGACGTCTACCACGTCTTATCAGATGTAGATCTTTGACGGGGAGGTCCAAGGGGCTCTCATGGTACCACCACCAGCCACGCCCCTACCAGACCCCCTCGCAGAATGTGTGTTTGGGCATCTTAGACTGGAGGACTGGTTACCCTCCATCAGCATTCCTGATGTATCAGAGGGCGGAGGGCACGGCTTATGTGGGTCTCTGCCAAGGTTGTTGACTTGCCTTTGAGGGTTCCTCAATCAGATGTGAAGGAAAGTTGACTCGCATGTACGAATCCGGGAGATGCTGCACTGACCTTTCTTTTTGGTCATCCAAGCATGTAACACGATAATTCAAGCTGACCAGAACAGGTACAACGGCGGGAATAAGTGTATCATTCAATTCAAGGTAGTGTTCGCAAGTTCATTTCAGTCCGGTTTTTTGCCCCCAAAACGCGCAACCGTGGACCGCAACCGGTCTAGGACCGATCCAGATATTGAGGGAACTGAACCGAACCACCTAGGACCGGTCTATTTCGGTCTATGGAGCCGGTTCAGACCGATCCAGACCGGTTTTTTTGCGTATAATTTATTATACCAATATAAACCATTTGTATCTTGACTATTATTACTCTGAAAAATAAACGGGTTATATGAAATAGTAAAGCATGTAAATACCCATTATTCTACCAATTTTGAAGAGATTTAATGAAGATTTGACATAGCTATGACTGAAACTGAATTACATCTCGTAGAGACTCGGGTAAAATATGGATTTGGTTATATCTTTTTCAATTCTTAACCGTTTTTGATGAAACAAAAACCCAATAAAAGGTAATAAACGTGGTTACAAGGGTATGTAACGCACGTGACCGTTTAACCGGTTGCAACCGATCAAAACCGGTCATTGAACGGTTTTAATATATTTTCGAAATGAGGCAACCGGCAACCGGACCAACCCCAAATTGGGGCAACTGCAACCGAAAAAAAGACCGGACCATGGTCCGGTTCAGTTCGGTCCACCGGTTTTTTGCAGTCCTATGGACTGAACCTTTAAACACTAATTCAAGGTGTTTGCGAGTCGTGGACTTGGTTTGAAGGCCACTGCTACATTTGTGGATGATGCAACACTTCCTCTGGGGTGTTTGGGTGCAGTGCGCTGAGTCCCGAGTGTGCTGGATGGGGAGAGATGCTTCGCTATAATTATATACATTCTTTTGGTATACCATTTCTCATCATTGGATGGATGGGTACTGTTGTAAACCTCTCGAATATCCTTACTTATGCAATTTTTCTTCTATCAATGGGACCAACCAAACATTGACAAATTTTAAACTGAAAAGTGGACGTCCACTTTTCAGTTTAAAATTTGTCGATGTTCGTCCATCTTCTATGGCAGAGACCATCAATCCCAACAGCTCCACCGAAAAACCCCCAGTTGGTTATTTCAAGAGTGAAGAAGAAGAAGACAAAGACACTTCAGTCACCCACTGACAACTGACTGTTAGTCTTGCAAACTCCATGAATACTACGGGACTAAATGTCAGGGTGTATATCTATATTGTATATATTTTGGGGCTTGTATATCTCCACTTTTACCTAAATATATTTTGTTGTCCAATGTCACACTAAATATATTTCTAGTGTGTCACACACCCCAAAATATATTTCCTCCCTGGAATGGACTCCAAATATATTTCTTATGCCTGGACCCTGAATTGTGACTGTCACAATGTAGAAATATATTTCTTGTCTGGGATGGACTTGGGATATATTTTGCAGCTAGGGTTGACTAAGGATATATTTTTTCACCCACAAGGGGTGTCTGGGGTCCTATATTTAAGAGAAAAACTTGGGATTTTTTTTAATATAGGGGATAGGGGATTTACCTATTATTTTGTAGGCAGAATACCCTCATTGGGATGTTTGTTGACAGATATTTACCAATAGCTTTGACCCATGTGTAGTATATGCATTGATGTGTGCACTATTTCCTAATTGGGAAAATCATTACACTTTTTTCTGCCACACCTGATGTCAGGCACAGTGCACATTTAGGTTGGGAAGTGTTTCCCATGCTTTTTGAGCCAGAAGAATTAATGGCTAGCATGGTGTGGTCATTGATAATGATGATGTGCGCACTATTTCCTAATTGGGCCATTTCCTAATTAAGAAAAGCGTTACACTTTTTCAGACACACCTGATGTCAGGCACAGTGCACATTTAGGTTGGGAAGTGTTTCCCATGCTTTTTGAGCCAGAAGAATTAATGGCTAGCATGGTGTGGTCATTGATAATGATGATGTGCGCACTATTTCCTAATTGGGCCACTTCCTAATTAAGAAAAGCGTTACACTTTTTCAGACACACCTGATGTCAGGCACAGTGCGCATTTAGGTTGGAACTGTTTCCCACGCTTTTTGGGCCAGAAGAGTTAATGGCTAGCAGGGTGTTGTCATTGTTAATGATGATGTCCGCATATTTCCCAATTGGGAAAGTCATTACATAATATCAGTTTGGTTTGTAGTGTCTGGTTTTTTCATTAGAAAATTGTATAGTGTCCGCTTTTTTCATTAGAAGAATGTGTAGTGTCTGCTTTATTCATTAGAAAATTGTGTAGTGTCCGCTTTTTTCATTAGAAAATTGTGTAGTGTCCACTTTTTTCATTACAACACTGTGTAGTGTCCACTTTATTCATTACAAAATTGTATAGTGTCCGCTTTTTTCATTAGAAATATGTGCAGTGTCCCCTTCTCTCATCACAAAGGTGTGTAGTGTCTGCTTTATTCATTGCAAAATTGTGTAGTGTCTGCTTTATTCATTACAAAATTGTGTAGTGTCCGCTTTTTTCATTACAAAACTCTGTAGTGTCCACTTGATGCATTACAAAATTGTGTAGTGTCCGCTTTTTTCAGTAGAAATGTGTGCAGTGTTCACTTCTTTCATTACAAAACTTTGTGGTTTGCCTTTCTGTTATCTTGTAGCTTCCTGGGGATATATCTCAATGTTTCAGAGAAACTGACTCCAGCCAAAGACCTCTTCATCATTTAGAATCCATACACAAATTGTGTTTTGACTGAGCATCAAGTGTCCTAATTGTCCCCTTGGCCAGCTTCAGTCATGTTGTCCAACATTCATTGCATCTCCCTGGGGACTCATCTCTGTCCATCTATGTCTGACCATAGCCAACCTCAACATGATCTCCTTCAAGACAATCTCAGTAATTGATTTGCCAGCTGTTGGGGCTACTGTCAGATGCTGTTCAAGGAGAAAGTTAGGACACTTAATGCTCAGTCAAAACACAACTGGTGTATGAATTCCAAATGATGAAGAGCTGTTTTGCTGAAGTGACAAGATATCAGAAAGGCAGACCACAAAGTTTTCTAATGAGAAAAGCAGACACTACCTACACACTTGTAATGAAAAAGTGGACACTACACAGTTTTGTAATGAAAAAAGCGGACACTACACAGATTTCTAATGAAAAAGGCGGACACTGCACAATTTTGTAATGAATAAAGCAGACACTACACATTCTTCTAATGAAAAAGCGGACACTACACACCTTTATAATGCAAGAAGTGGACACTGCACAGTTTTCTAATGAAAAAAAGCGGACACTGCACAGTTTTCTAATGAAAAAAGCGGATACTACAGAGTTTTCTAATAAAAAAAGCGGACACTACACAGTGTTGTAATAAAAAAGCGGACACTACACAATTTTGTGATGAAAAAAGCGGACACTACACAATTTTGTAATGAATAAAGCGGACACTACACAGTGTTGTAATAAAAAAAGCGGACACACACAGTGTTGTAATAAAAAAAGCGGACACTACACAATTTTGTAATGAAAAAAGCGGACACTACACACCTTTGTGATGAGAGAAGGGGACACTGCACACATTTCTAATGAAAAAAGCGGACACTATACAATTTTGTAATGAATAAAGTGGACACTACAAAGTGTTGTAATGAAAAAAGCGGACACTACACAATTTTCTAATGAATAAAGCGGACACTACAAAGTGTTATAATAAAAAAGCAGACACTACACAATTTTCTAATGAATAAAGCAGACACTACACATTCTTCTAATGAAAAAAGCGGACACTATACAATTTTGTAATGAAAAAACCGGACACTACAAACCAAACTGATATTATGTAATGACTTTCCCAATTGGGAAATATGCGGACATCATCATTAACAATGACAACACCCTGCTAGCCATTAACTCTTCTGGCCCAAAAAGCGTGGGAAACAGTTCCAACCTAAATGCGCACTGTGCCTGACATCAGGTGTGTCTGAAAAAGTGTAACGCTTTTCTTAATTAGGAAATGGCCCAATTAGGAAATAGTGCGCACATCATCATTATCAATGACCACACCATGCTAGCCATTAATTCTTCTGGCTCAAAAAGCATGGGAAACACTTCCCAACCTAAATGTGCACTGTGCCTGACATCAGGTGTGTCTGAAAAAGTGTAACGCTTTTCTTAATTAGGAAATGGCCCAATTAGGAAATAGTGCGCACATCATCATTATCAATGACCACACCATGCTAGCCATTAATTCTTCTGGCTCAAAAAGCATGGGAAACACTTCCCAACCTAAATGTGCACTGTGCCTGACATCAGGTGTGTCTGAAAAAGTGTAACGCTTTTCTTAATTAGGAAATGGCCCAATTAGGAAATAGTGCGCACATCATCATTATCAATGACCACACCATGCTAGCCATTAATTCTTCTGGCTCAAAAAGCATGGGAAACACTTCCCAACCTAAATGTGCACTGTGCCTGACATCAGGTGTGGCAGAAAAAAGTGTAATGATTTTCCCAATTAGGAAATAGTGCACACATCAATGCATATACTACACATGGGTCAAAGCTATTGGTAAATATCTGTCAACAAACATCCCAATGAGGGTATTCTGCCTACAAAATAATAGGTAAATCCCCTATCCCCTATATTAAAAAAAATCCCAAGTTTTTCTCTTAAATATAGGACCCCAGACACCCCTTGTGGGTGAAAAAATATATCCTTAGTCAACCCTAGCTGCAAAATATATCCCAAGTCCATCCCAGACAAGAAATATATTTCTACATTGTGACAGTCACAATTCAGGGTCCAGGCATAAGAAATATATTTGGAGTCCATTCCAGGGAGGAAATATATTTTGGGGTGTGTGACACACTAGAAATATATTTAGTGTGACATTGGACAACAAAATATATTTAGGTAAAAGTGGAGATATACAAGCCCCAAAATATATACAATATAGATATACACCCTGACATTTAGTCCCGTAGTATTCATGGAGTTTGCAAGACTAACAGTCAGTTGTCAATGGGTGACTGAAGTGACAAAGAAGCACCAGATCAAGACGACGATGCTATTAACTCTTGATGATGTGCTATGGGTAGGTTGGGATGGACTGGATGACTCTGCTGATCCAAAAAGTGAGTCCATTGCAAAGTCTTCACCATCACCATATTCAATTTTTGTACAGCTGGTCATACAAAAAGAACTGGGCCGCAACACTTGTGGTATCATCATTCACATTCATCAGTCCCGTTTCCTCATCCATGGTCGCCCCAGCGACAGAGCAGATCATGACGAGCAAGGTGCTCATTGTGATGACGGTGTCTATTTTTGTTTTGGGATACGCCGTTAGTCCCTTGGTGAGTTCGGATGTTTTCGTGTTTTATATGAAGCTGAGGTCTTTTGAAGTTTCTTGAAATATACGGCCATTCTAGAGTACTTCAATTAGCAAATCTCTTCTTTCTTGGTATGTCACCCCAACGACAGAATAAATCTTTGAATAATCACTTCTTTTATTGTACATGTGGCATGGAACATTGGGTGTGGATTTGCGCACAATAAATCTCAACTGCCTTTCGCTTTCCATCAGGCCTTGGTGGGAGCACCCCTCTGTCTGTATGTTTCACTGCTTCCTGGCTGCACTCTCTTTGCTGACCCTCGTCCTCCACACGTCGAGGTGTCCGTGGTGACGTCTGGCGTGCAGAGGAAAGAGGGAGAGCAATCACTATCTATTCTCTCGTGCCTCTATTAGGACCTGACATTGGCCCTGTATGCAATGGTCTACATGGTGTTGGGTGGTGAGTGCTTCCTGTCCCTTCTGTCCTTCCCATTGCTGTATGCTGACAAACTCATCAATGCAGTTTTGGGCAACAAGTGTGGCAGACACCATTGTCCAAATATCTGGTTTCTTCTTTTTGCAAGAAAGTAAGTGTTGCTTCCCCTCCTTCCGTTATGGTATCTTACCCCCTGATAGCCTATGCTCCATTGCTTCTCGAAAGGAGCCTTTGATAACGATAACAACCAAATGTGTGCCTTCAATCATCTACTTTTCGGACCTTGGTTTAGTTCTCCTGACCTCTTCCACATAGTTGGCAACATGTGTTCTCGAAAGCCCTCATTCGACCATTTAAAGTTTTTGCAAGTGAGTGAATTATACAGCTTCTTAGACTATACATGGCCTTCATCTTCAACATTTTCTATCATAAACCCTCATTCCTCGTTTCTAAAACACATCCTCTAACTTGTATCCAACGGGCAGTGTTTCTTACTACCATGCCTTCCTTCATCGCCCACGTCTATAACGAGGGACCCAGCATTCAGGGTCTGCACTACTTCACTCTCGGGATCGGCCTCGCAATCTGCTCTCAAATGAATGCCCGATTCATGGACAAGATCTATATCTACTTCAAGTGGAAGAATGGGAACGTCGGGGAGCCAGAGTTCAGGCTGCCATTTATGGTCCATGGGACGATCATGGTGCCGATAGGGCCGTTCCTGTCAGGATGAGTGTCATCGTAAGTCTTCTTGGGCTTAATCCTACAGTTACTTGTGACTCCGACCGCCCTTTTCACTTTATAGGGCATTGCATTAGTTGGAGGGGGGATGACCCTCATGTTTCAATCGTGCAGACATATGTTGCGGATGTGTTCATGCTGCCAGGGGTCACCGGCTCTCAATCATATGTGTTTGACTTGAATGAGTATATGCATTCCCTATTAATTTACCACTTGCACACACATTATCATATAACAAAACACTATATGTACCTCTAAAAGTATGACAATGGCACGAACAAAAGGACAATTCAGCCCAGCAAAGAGAGAACACTGAAACAGCTGCAGATGAGTTGATATCTATTTGTTACTCTTTGTCTATAGCTCTCAAAGAATAGTGTGACAAAAAAACGGGTCTGTATAAGAATGATTCCTTATGTAAACTCCAGGACTCGTAATATTGACTGGGTAAACCATTCATCAGCAGTGTGATATATCACTTCAATCCTGAAAACTTGCCTCAGGTTCATTGCAAACCCATTCTCCATGTCCATCAGGGTTAGTGTATCAATCAGGGGTATGCCAGGTGAGCAAAGTCCCTCCTCAAATTGTGGCATGACAAGGGCTGAAGTGGGCTGCAACATCCATAAAAATCAGCAATTCCTGCACCCAACTATCCATAGCCAAAACCCCATCTTCCTTGGCAATCCACCACCCCTCCTCCTTTATCCCCTTCCCCCATCTTTGCTCTCCAGTCCTCAGCCGCCCACTCTGGTTAAACACAAAAATATGCAACAGGAGCACATCTAAAGGGTATATCTTCCCCAACCCCAAATGCAAAACCAACAATGCTCCCCCTTCCCATTCCCATCTCTCAACTTCCAACAGGAGCAAACTGTCAGAAACAACAATATTCCCCCACCTGCCACAGCACCCTGCAGTTTATTTTACATCCTCTGCTGTTCACTGAATACACTGGGTATGTATGGGCCAGGCATATGCGGTATCTCACCACCTCTCCCTGCAGATTTCAACACTTGGGCTGACCCCAAGGGACATGGGAGAGGGAGGTATGGTGGATGTGGGCAGGAATGAGGAGCATGCTGGTGTCTGAAGTGTCATTTGGGCATCAAATGGGCCCTAGATGCCCTTCTGCTTCTGTTTCTGTGGATGGTGGTAGAGGCAGTAGTGGAGGGGCGATGTGTCCCAGAATTGCAAGGAGATATGATGAATCCTGGGTGGAGGAACATTGCTGATGGATTGGGCATGTGCATGAGGCCATTGACTGATCTTCCTGTAAAGTAGCCACCAGGAATTAAGGTAGACCACTTGCTAGAGGCTTGAGGTGTTGGTCCAGTTGTGTATGTTGGAGTGCTAGAGCTGGTGTAATGCATGGGGGAGGAGGAGGCAGAGTTGGTTGTGAATACAGGAAAGAAGAGGGATGCAGGTTTTGGAAGGATGCTGGGGTGCCCTCTGGCATGGTCTGAGGTGTCCATGACATCCAGGGCTTGGGCTTGGTGTGCTGCAAGGTCAAGAACTTCACAGTTCCATCATGAGGAGAAAGTGTTGGTAGGTTATAGTAAGGGACATGTATCCATGATGGGCAAGGGGGAATGTAGGGTTTTCCAAAGATGTTGCAGTGTGCATTGGAGGTCAGATTGAAGAGGCCCACCCAGGCCAGCTGCCCTTGTGAATGAAAACATGTCCATCTCCTCCAGAGAATGCAAGAACTAAATGGCGTCAAGCAGATTACACAGTGCCAGAGGTCTGATCCTCAAAGGGAACAGTTTCTTTACTGCATCCAAACTCAACCCAGCCGATAAGTGTCACCTTCACAACTTCCCTACCAATCTTCACATCTACCTTCTCAACCATGAAACCAGCACCAATACCCAACTTGCCAGAGTCCTCAATCTCCACACAAAGGACCACAGTTTGTTTGGCACTCCCTGCTTCTCTTTGCTTGTGTTCTTTTCTGCATTGTCGAGTTCTCTGAGGGTTCCTTCCATTTCTGGTAGGAGAACGTACAGGACGAAGACAGTGTGCATGTGGACTCAGAATCGGGAAACTGTTTGGAGTGTACAGTGCTAGAATTCATGGAGTGTTGGGAGGGATTTTCAGTGTGGAAGAATGAATGTTCAACAGAGGAAACAGAAAACTGGTCATCTACTGAATCAAGAAGGGGGGAAAAAGGAACAATGGAAAAGGGACAAAAGAACAAAGGAAAAGGGACTCAGCATCTAAGTGCATGAGTGCACACTGATAAAGAGGCTTTACATGATTCAGTGAGAGGGTCATCTTAGTCAACTATATGCATAGAAGGGGGGGGTTCTTTGTATACGTAGGGACTTGTTCTTGAAGCTCTTTGTAATGTGGTAGGTTGTCTTTGAAGTAAGTAAAGGTGATGGAACATCATTGAGGGACAATCATGAATTCTTGAAGTTCTTAGAGGAAAATGGAAAGTGAGAGAGGGAAAGAAGTACTCCATTTTGCAAGTTGGGAGAACACCTTTAAATATAAAATCTAGAATCACAAGGCATTCTGCATGTTCTTGTGTGCTGCCTGTCCCCAATGAGTCTAAAAGAAGAAAAGAAGGAAAAGGGCAATGGTTTTGGGGAAGTGGACAAATAAAACAAAGTTTGGCGCATCCTGTCAAACACCTTGGCAAAACTCTTAGACTGGGAATTACTCGGGGAGTTGCTTGATGCTGGGAGAGGCTTATTTACTTGCACGTCGCTGCCCTCAACACAAGCCTCCCAGCCATTGGTTTCTCAACCCCACCATCCAATCCTCAAGAAAAGCTCTAGCATTGAAAGGGTTTGTTATAATTTAATAAACATCACAAACAAAAACAAAAAAAAAGAAGAAAACAATAAAATGAGCATACAAGACCGAAATCAAATCCTGAGTCGAATTCCTCCAATACAAAGCTGATGGGAAAGAATTTGCTGGCAATGACATCATCTGAGGAGGGCATTTACAGCAAGATGCTGGAGATTGCATCATTTGACTGGCAAGCTTTTGTATAGCCACCAGTGACGTCAAAATGAAGTTTTCTGACAAAATAAATCTTTTCACCAACTCTCGACTCTTTAGTAACAAGCTCGGGATGAATAGAAAATGAATGAAAAAGAATAAAAAACTTAAAACAACAGTAAAGGGCCAAAATAACAAAGGCGTCATGAGTGGAACATGATGCACTTCCACAATAGGTAAAACTTGAAAAACAATGCCCCCATCGTTTCGCCAAGAAAAAGAAAAAGAAAAACTCAGTGGAGAGGAAGGGCATCAAGTGCCCAAACTTCTAGGTCACAGATATTGGAATCTTTGAGGAGGTTTTCATGAACATGTGTATTTGCAATAGATGAGGATGCAGTGTAGCGAATGAATTCAATAGTGTTATGGTCCATGGGGTCGAGTTCTGCAATTGCAGGGTAAAAGCAATGATGAAGGTTGTGTGAAGTGAAAGTGTATGGAGTGACAGCTGGGAAAATACACAAGGGAACGATTGTCATGACCACAACAACAACCCATCCATGACAACAACACGTCCATGTCAACGACGTGTCCATGACCATGACACAACCATGACCACAGCACATCAACATCCACTCCCTTCCCTTCTCTCTCCTCTCCATCACTCCCTTCCCCTCCCTCTCCCCTCCATCACTCCCTTCCCCTCCCTCCCCCCTCCATCATTCCCTTCTCCTTCCTCCTCCATCAATCCCTTCCCCTCCCTCCATCAATCTCTTTCCCTCCATCATTCCTCCCCCTCCCCTCCCTCCATCAATCTCTTTCCCTCCATCATTCCTCCCCCTCCCCTCCCTCCTCCATCACTCTACCACCCCTCTCCCTACCACTCCCCCCCCTCTCCATTCACTCTCCACCACCCCTCCCCACTCCCTTTAACATATAAAGTAGTAAAATACATTTATGTAGCTCTCTTCAATAAATACACTTAGATTTTCCTGGTTCAAATAGAAATATCTCAAGAATTCTTAGGATTGAATATGTATAAGGTCTGAGTTGGATTTAATCACATGATGTCTGGCTAAAGTTGGGATTTTCTGTAATTTGCACAAGGCAGAGTCCATGTTGAAACTCTGATTGAATCCAACTGGAGGCCACTTGGATTCCAGGCGGAGTCCATGTGGAGTCCAGATGGATTTTCAATGAAATTGTAGGGTGAGGTCTTCTCCAGATGGATCCCAGATGGAGTCCAGATGGATTTATGGAGTCCATGTGGACTCCATCTGGAATCTGTGGGGGAGGGTAAAGTACACCGGGGAGGGGTGAGGTGTGCAAGCTTGTTGATGGTAAGGAGGCCCACCCACACCAGCTGCTCTTGCAAACAAATAGGCATCCATCTCTTCAGAGATTGCAAAAATGAAACGGCATAGAGCAAATTGTACTGTGCCAGACATCCAATTCTCAAAGAAAAATTGAAGGAAACATTTTTTTCACTGCATCTGAACTAAACCCACCACCTCCCTAGCCAATAAGTGTCACCTTCATGCCTTCCCCACCAATCTTGACATCCACCTTCTCAACCACAAAACCAGCACAAACACCTGACTCATCAGAGTTCTCAATCTCTACACAAAAGACCACCATTGCTTGGCACTCCCTGCTTCTCTCCACTTGCGTTCTTCTTCTGCATTGTTGAGTTCTGCAAGGGTTCCTTCCATTTCTGGAAGGAGAATGTAGGGACAAAGACAGTGCACATGCAGACTTGGAATTGGGAGACTATTAGGAGTGTATAGTGGTAGGATTTTTGGAGTGTTGGGAGGGATTTTCAGATGGCTGTCATTTGATAAGGGGAAGCAGAAACCGCAGGCTCAGCTGACAGCAAGACAAATGTCCAATGCAATTGAAAATTTGTTTATGCTGAGGTGCAGGGCTGATAACCTGTTGACAAGTAGAGGGAAACAAGACATGTGGACAGAATAAGACAATGAAGTAGCTATGTAAATACAACTGTCTGGAAGCTACTGAAGTCTTGACTACAGAACTAAGTCCAACACTACTGAATACCCACCAAATCTATCTGAGTTCTATTGCATATAGGATATAATCTTCATATTTGGATATGTAGGTTGGATATCTATGATATGAAAACAGGATATGTTTAGGTGGGTGTGTAACAGCCAGCCCAATCATGGCCGATCTTGCAACCTCGAAAGTTGATGATGGCAGATGGTTGACGGGAAATTACAAGAAGGGTGTATGGATAAGCCACCTCTGGCACCCACATGAGCCGATATCCACCAAGTACAGAACACATCCAAGGGTATCGATCAGTAGTCCAAGCAGGGTAAGGATCATCTAAGGTGTCACAGGTGTTATCAGCAGGAGAGGTAATAGAATTTTGTGGATGTGTGTGAATATTTGGCACCTTCACCTGAGCTCCTGTTGATGCCTCCCATACTCGCACAGAGTTGTCCCATGAGCCAGAGACGATGTGGGTGCCATCAGTGGAAAAGGCGACAGAGCAGATGGCTTCTGTGTGGCCATTGAGCACCCTCAGCTCAGCCCCAGTTGATACATCCCACACCCGCACAGATTTGTCACATGAGCCAGAGACAATACAGGTGCCATCAGTGGAGAAGGCAACGGCTTGGACCCAACCTGTGTGGCCATTGAGCACCTTCAGCTCAGCCCCAGTTGATGCATCCCACACCCTCACAGAATTGTCATCTAAGCCAGAGACCATATGAGTGCCATCAGTGGAGAGGGTGACAGAGGAGATGGATTGCATGTGGCCATTGAGCACCTTCAGCTCAGCTCCAGTTGATGCATCCCACACCCGAACAGATTTGTCATATGAGCCAGAGACAATGTGCGTGCCATCAGTGGAGAAGGTGACAGAGGTGACAGCATTTATGTGGCCATTGAGCACCTTCAGCTCAGCCCCAGTTGATGCATCCCACACCCGCACAGATTTATCACATGAGCCAGAGATGATGCGGGTGCCATCAGTGGAGAAGGCAACAGATGAGACACCTGACATGTGGCCATTGAGCACCTTCAGCTCAGTCCCAGTTGATACATCCCACACCCGCACAGATTTGTCATCTAAGCCAGAGACCATGCGGGTGCCATCAGTGGAGAAGGCAACAGACGTGATGGATTGCATGTGGCCATTGAGCACCTTCAGCTCAGCCCCAGTTGACACATCCCACACCCGCACAGATTTATCATATGAGCCAGAGACAATGTGGGTGCCATCAGTGGAGAAGGCAACAGATGAGACACCATCCATGTGGCCATTGAGCACCTTCAGCTCAGTCCCAGTTGACACATCCCACACCCGCACAGATTTGTCCTATGAGCCAGAGACAATGTGGGTGCCATCAGTGGAGAAGGCAACAGACGAGACAGATTGCATGTGGCCATTGAGCACCTTCAGCTCAGTCCCAGTTGACACATCCCACACCCGCACAGATTTATCCCATGAGCCAGAGACAATGCGGGTGCCATCAGTGGAGAAGGCAACAGAGTTGACACCTTCATGTGGCCATTGAGCACCTTCAGCTCAGTCCCAGTTGACACATCCCACACCCGCACAGATTTATCATATGAGCCAGAGACAATGCGGGTGCCATCAGTGGAGAAGGCAACAGACGAGACACCTACATGTGGCCATTGAGCACCTTCAGCTCAGCCCCAGTTGACACATCCCACACCCGCACAGATTTGTCATCTGAGCCAAAGACGATGTGGGTGCCATCAGTGGAGAAGGCGACAGACAGTATGGACACTTCCATGTGGCCATTGAGCACCTTCAGCTCAGCCCCAGTTGATGCATCCCACACCCGCACAGATTTGTCACATGAGCCAGAGACAATGTGCGTGCCATCAGTGGAGAAGGCAACAGACGAGACCCAATACATGTGGCCATTGAGCACTTTCAGCTCAGCCCCAGTTGACACATCCCACACCCGCACAGATCTGTCTATTGAGCCACTGACAATGTAGGTGCCATCAGTAGAGAAGGCGACAGACAAGATGGAAGCCCTGTGGCCCTTAAGTAGCTTCAACTCAGCCCCAGTTGATGCATCCCACACCTGCACAGAATTGTCTGAGCCAGTGACAATGTGGGTGCTGTCAGTGGAGAAGGCAACAGAGTAAATGGATGCATCCATTTCTATTACTATCAGTGGCACATCACTAGCCTTCCTATGAGTGAAGGATGGGATGCCACGGAACTTTTCTCTCCACTGTTGAGACATAATGGATCCTGTTGACCAGGACGCCAATGTTGAGATATACAAGTGTGGTGTAGACAAAGCTGGTGGATTTCCAGCAAAGTATGTGGCAAAATTGCGTGCCTCAGCAATGTTGGCAGCAAGCTCAGCTTCCTTGTTCATATTCTGACTAAAAGCTTTAGAAGCAGTATATATCAAGTGACAATATTCTCACCTTCAGAACCCACCCACATGTGTGCTGAAGCATTGTGCTACACTTACCACTGGATCCAAGTAGGTTCATAGCCTCAATCCAAAAGAGAACACGAATACAGAGGAAGTCAGTGATATAGTCACTGAGATCCTCCCCATCTTTTTGACCAGTTTGGGCCAAATGCTGAGCCCAGTGCCGACAGGCATACCTCAGGACCGGTTTGATATTGGTGCCAACCCGCTGCATCAGCTTTGGGTCCTCAGTGTCAAGTAAAAACGAGGATGTTATGTCACCGATATTGAAACGGAGCAACTCCTTCATGCGGTCAAAGCAACATTTCGTAAGAAAAGCATGGTGTTGGGCCTGATCACATGTTGCGGACATCTGATGACTGCCAAGCTTGAATGTTGAGCGAGCATGATTGAAGACAAAGTCAGGAAATGATGCATGGTACCAAAGGACCTGGCCATCTTTGCAATAAAGAACTGCATGAAGTTCTTTCAAGACGGTGATTGCAGTCTCTTCAGATTCAGAGAGGAGGGCAGCAGTAAAAGACGCTGGTGTGCGTTCGAATGTACAGAGGAAGGTATGGAGAATGCGCAAACGAGAGTTGAAGAGGTCACGGTCAAGGTTACAAAAGGCATCAAGCATGATTTGTTGGTAGAGCTTGTCAATGAGCAATGGCTGCTGTGCACCCGATGACGAAAATGATTGCCCCTCACACAGCTTTTCCAGTAGAATGCGTTGCTCATTTTCTGTTATCGGTCGAGTGCCACGTGGTGTCAAATACCTCACGATGGTTGCTGCTGCAATAAAAAGGCCGCCTGCTAGCTGTTCCATAGTCTCGCGCTCCGGCTTGTCTGCAAAGTTTGGAAGTTTGGTCTGTAAGTACTGGGTGATATCTAGTCCTACACGCTCAATCGGCACGTCTTGCAGGCGGCAGACTGCCTTGAACGAGAAGGTCTTGCAGAGGTTCTCGATGCGACGATCTGGCCGGCTCGTGATAAGAAACTTGAGACCTCGCAGGCGACGCTGGTTGATTGTCTCGAGTAAGTTTTGAAGAAACAGAGACCCTCCATCGGCCTCGATCTCATCCAATGCGTCAACGACGATGAGGTAAGGTGGGAGCTCCACATGACGTCCGGATTCGGACTGCTGCCATGGGCCCACAAGGAGGTCCTTCATTTGCTTGGTGAGCTTGTTGACTGAGTCGAACCTATCTGCTTCATGCAAGGCATGGGCGTACGATCTCGACTTGCGAGCAAGCTGGTATACAAGGGTAGGAATGATGTGGATCTGTCGTTTTGTCTCCTCAAATTGGCGGGAGCAGAGAAAGTTCCCGCCTAAGACGGTGTGTGGTCCAGTATCCTCAAGCTCATCGAAGTGTTCAGCGATGGTATATGCGATCGTTGTCTTTCCAGCGCCAGCTTGGCCGGTCAGCCAGAAGACAGGTGGGCTGTCCGCCGAGATGTCGTCAGCCCATGCAATTATCTCCTTTAGAATTTGCTCGCGAGTGCCTGCGGTGCATGGTTCACGGGTCACTGTCGCCCCGGCCCCCAAGTCAGCGTCGTAGATCGCCTTACGAGCGAGAAGTGGGTCAAGTTTTGTGAGCTGTAGAATGATTTAGTGCTCATCCTGGTTGAGGAATCTGATGTTTACCCTGAGTTCGGCGAGTATACTATCCACCTTTCTCTCGGTCCTCCATGCGAGGTCAATCTAGATGATGAATGAGCAAATTTGTAACCCAAGAGGACAATAGCATCGACCCTTGAATTCTTCGTAGCCTCGTCCTCGTGATTATTGATCTATAAGAGGTCCAGCGCCATCAGCTTGTTGGGTGAGTATCTGACTGTTCCACTCACAATGTTGAACGTGCCGCCGCTAATCGCAAAGTGATGAGCATCGGGGAAAAAGTTGGTTTCTCCTGCTCCGCAGCCGTTACCTTTATAAAGAGTTCAATGATCAGCTTTATTTATATATTGTGATGACGGCTTTCTCACCTGTAATGGCCATGGGGCCCACACCACCCCATGGGCGAGCATGTTGAGAAGGGTACAGTTCACCTTCTTCAAGAATATTCAAGTTTTGACTGATGAACATATAACGATTCTTCTCACCTATCCCTGCGTGGTGTACTTGAGGTGGGAAATGCCCCCCGAGATAACCATCACTGCGAAGATCCGCTTGCTCCCCTCCCAAGGGGATTCTTTGAAGCTCGTGGAAAGCATCGTGAATACGAGGATAAGCGCGTTGACGGTTCATTGTTGGACAAGGAATATGCGGGAGAAAGACCGGGCTGTTATTGAGCGGTTGAGGGAGATTGTCGAATCTGTTGAAGGGTTGGGGAGGGGTATTGCTGTCATTTGGCATGGTCATTGTATGAGCTGGAAGGACGCGTTGAGGGTGCGGGAGACGAGGCGCCGATAAGACGCCGGAGCCTGAAGGGCCTAAAATCTTGGGTGTGGCACTGTTGGAAGAGGTAACAAGATCTTGGAAGTGGATCAGACTTGCACAGTTTACGAAGCTGAGTTAATATGGTACCCACCTTCCCACAAAGCGGTATTACTGTCTAGTGGAGAGCGAAGGCCCGTAGGTCCATCTGCAGTGCCGAAATGTTTAAATCAGGTGCGAAGAGGTTTTATCTGTGTTGGGCGTACCGACTAGCATACCAGCGATATTCGTTCTGCTTGTATCGAGTGAAGTGTGGTTTTTCTGCCTCTTTGCAGTTCTTGCGTCGTTTCCTTCCAGTCCAGGTGAATGAACAGAGTCGATAGAACCCAAATTCATATTTGTCGATGGACCAGCCGAGTCTCTGGGTTTGGTGCGCTTCCCACGATTTCCAACTTTCTCCATTTGCTCGATTGTTGCAGTGGAGGAGGTTGAACGTTGAACGTTGAAAGAGGAGATGAGAGTGAGCGGCAAAAACAGGTACGAAGCAAGGCGGCTGCATCGCAATATAGCAGCATCAGGTGATCAGTGTCCCAAATCTCTTCCACCTCTTCCTCCGCCTCGCTGTCCTCCCCATTATCCCCGCCATGGCAGCCCAACTCTCAGCTCGCCAACAAACAGATTTGTACGCGCGACCTATATCCATCCATCTTTGCCACTAACGTTCACCTTCATCATATGATCAGGTGTAAATCTTTGATTACATCCACACGGCCGTATTCACAAAAACGTACGACCAGTTACGAGAGGAAGCCCCTCATTTGGTGTTTATACCCCCCCCCCCCTTACCACTTGATCACTGATTTGACCTTCCTTCGACAAGCTCGAGTTTAAACCCGACCCCACCTCGCCCTCTAGCGGGTTGTTCGTCAAGAAATGGACGAGCGTGATCAGGATACAGAAAAAGGTGTGTTCCAACCTCGTTACTTTGTTTCCCTCATGAAATGAACGACGCCTCGATTCGTAGATTAAAGCCCTCGAAGGATTATCGCATACCTCGACCTCTGATGGCTCGAAACGCGCAAATAAGGAATGATTGATGATTGCCTAACGAACCCGCCAAATATATTCTCATCGGGCACAAGCACAAAATCAACGCTGTTAGCCTTGACCCTCTGTACTCCGTTATAGCGTCAGCCTCTGTAGAGGCGCCGGTGAAAATCTGGGACTGGGATTCGGGGGAATTGGAGAGGACGTTGAAGAGCCATACGAAGGTGGTCCCGGATTGTCAGTTTGATTCGACGTTTGGGTGAGTGTTTTTGTAGTACTGCCGAGTGGTCATGTGGGCTAAGGGGTTGCATATAGCGACGTGTTCGGACGATCTCTTTATGAAGCCGTGAACGTTCCTGATGACTACAAGATTTTGCTACCCTTGGAGGGCACGAACACTCCATCTCGGGTGTTTCCTTCTGACCAGGGGACAATCAGGTCGTTTCCTCCAGTCGGGATCATACAGTCAGGATGTGGGATATCCAAACAAGTCATACGACCACAGGAAGAATGGATCCGGTCTGCCATTCCCAGTCTGGACAGTCTGCTTCTCTTACCATGTTCAGACGATCATGTACGCGTTTCGTTCCCAGGCCTTAAACGCTCTTCATTCCTTACCTTCTTCTGCTTCCTTTCAGACGGCACGAATTACGGACTTAGTCTTCCGCACTAAAGGCGGAAATGCGACGTCACGACAACCATATCGAATGCGCCGTATTCGTAGCTCCAGTATCTATTTCATCTGTCCGAGAACTGGTAGTTGTGGTGAATCCTTTCTTCATCCCCTGTGGAGTTGCTGAATCGAGCATAAATGTGTCTAGCCTTCCACCGTCCAGTCCGCGAAAGTCGACTCCCTGGGGATCTCCTTCGTCATAACGGGGTCTCGTGACAAGACGATCAGGCTCTGGGACGCGTTGAGGGGTCAATGTTTATGGGCTTTTGTCAGTTTTCTGCCTACAGGTTGCATCTTATCTTTCCTAACACCTCGAACTCCAGGTCGGCCCCGACGGCTGGGTTCAAGCAGTGACATGTGGGAAATACCTCATCTCAGTAGCGGACGACCATACCCTGCAGATTTGGGACTTGAAGACAGGCCGATGCTTGCGAAAAGGTTTTCTTTACCCTCACTTTCCCTTCGTTCTTAACTATCTACTCCCAAGCTCTTGCCAAACACGACCAAACAAGCATCCTCAGTGCTTGGAGTGTCGAGGCCCGACACTCCAACGACGAGCCAGAGAGGACCGTTAATGTTTTGGCTACGGATGGAACGGATGGGGTACGTTGCTATGGCTCTACCACCGTCTGACGTCGAACCTTAAAGTTCTTGATTTCAGCTGGTTAAGATCTGGAACCCTGATCTCCGTCGTCCGTCTGCTTTCTGAGGATGTGGGTCGTTAGTGGTCTTACTTCCCAAAAGCAACACTTGCTCCCGGCTTGCTTGACTGACGGCCCACTACCACCGTCTTACAGTCCCTTCTCATCATCCATGCCTTGCTGGTGGTATCGGACACAAAGCGAGCCACCAAAATTCTCCAGCCGTTCCGTCAGGAGAGCTTGTCGATGATAGTGCGGGCCGAGAAGAGAGCGACGATGGTCGAGGGGATGATCCTCAACCTGTTGGTCTGGTAACTGGGGTAGAAGAAGAATGAAGTCCATGGAGGACGAGGAGGATAACGACGGGTGAAGGAACATGGCTGATCGATTGGGTTGTTATTAACTTGGCGTTCTGGAAACACGCTGAAGAACTGAGTAGCTGGCCTTTCAATCGACAGATTAGACCAAGCTTTACTTACGTTCAGGACGCCGGTCCCGATCATGGTTTAGAAGACAATAAGCTCTCCGACGCAGGCGCATTGCTGGCCCCAGCGTCAGCACTCAAAACACGCTGCGGTGCGCCGCGATTGTTTGCCTTTCTTAGGAGGGTTCGAGGTCTAGCATAGTGGGTGTTAGGGGAGCTGAGGGCGTGGAGATGGTGCCGTTGCTGGCAGGATTAAGTCAGTAGATAATTTGGCCAATGAGACGCTTGTCGATATCCCCGCAGAGAGCACACTACCCGCCTATCCAGGGGGGCGCGTAAGGAAAGAGAAATTTTCACGACATGACTGAGTCGGACTGATGTGGCGACGTGTTCTTTGTGTAAAAAGGGCCCTTGGGAGTATTGCAGAATAAGGGAACTTGTGGGCAGTTAAACTCGCATTCAAGCTCTGCTTTGTAGAGGTTCATATGTCCCAAGACAACTGACAAAGTTTTCAGAGCAAATAATCATTCGAAGCCAATACTTAATGTACAAGAAAAAACCGTCTTCGTCATGGTTTGACCAAACCGTCGAAACCACATCGTAGCCAGGTGCAGGAATATGACAACCGCCTACCAAACTCTACATCAGCCCCTGCCAGCGAGAGAAATTGCTAATGGCGTGAGCGGCATGTCGTGCTGTGGCTTGCAAGAGAAGTGAACGCAGCGGACGGGTTTGACGTTGATAACCTTGTGCGACGCGAGCATGTCGAGGGAGAGTGCATCTTGTGTGAATTCAGCTGTGGAGTGGGGCTCTGGTGCCCCTTGGGGAGCATTGCTACAGATGGTTGTTGGCGGGTTGGTTGGTAGTTGAGCAGGGCACATCCCCATCCACGTCCACATTGTCCGACGAAGGCCCACTGCCTGCGTCAGGAATCCTCACATATACCTCCCTCAACTCGATCGCACCGTCCACGTCACCGATTGTGGGGACAGGCACGGTGGAAGATTGTGCACCTCGACGCGAGCGGTTTGAGGATTCCGCTGATAACCGAGACTTTTCTTACTAAGTTCATGAGATGAAGAGTAAATGGGGGGGGATGGACGTACTATAGCCCTGCGAAGAGGTTTTTCACTGGCAAGTGTTGAAAACATCGGCTATGGGTGATGTCGTTGGCGTGCGATGTTCTGCAGGTATAGGTAGCAATCGGTACGTTGTCAACGTACCGATTGCTCTCGAACACTGTTCTGGCCTAGCATATTCCTAGAAACGCGCTGGTCTTTGCTCGGAACCTTGATCAAGCAAGACTTGAGTAAGACGTTGTATGGTCGTGTAAGTAAACGCCTACCTTGATATTTCCGTTTTCCCTCAGCTGGCGAGAACTCGGGAGTACCCATTCAGCGTCCCCTTCGATCTTGTCTTTTGAAGGCGAAGAGTTGACTGGATAAGAGGAGGGATGGCATGGTCATATGAAGAGGGAAATGGTGGAGAGCCTCTGACCAGGCCGTTATGACGTAGCGCGTAAGATGCACGGTAAAGTCACATGTTGATTCGAGCTTCTGACGACCATCTTGTAGATTATTTATGGCCGAGATACTTCATGGTGAGCTTATTTCCTTCTGGCCTCACATCAATCCTTCCAAAAGACGCGTTGTGGATCCTCGTGGCACGGGAGTCCGAGCGCGTCTGGTTGGTGGCAACAAAATTTACCACTGATACTGACGACTTCTTATGCAGAACCTATCGCAGCCGATTCGAGTCCCTGGCAAGTCCCTGGGTGAGTTTTCGACCTCCTCTATATGAATCTAATAACCTTCGAGATTTACATCCAGACACTCTCGGGAGTCACATTCTTCTCCTAGTCTATTCCGACCTCGGAAATAAAATCCGCAGACCAGGAAGTTTGAACGGGACAACGCATGCCACTGCAACTCCACCGCTCACTCGCTCTTTTCATCCATCTCTACCAACTCCGGTGTCGGGTACTCGAGCACGCCTCACAAAGGGCCTCCAGCATACGGCACCACTGCTCTATCACGCCCAGCTCAACACACTCCGCAGACACTTCATCCCCGATCTCATTGCTCGCGTTTCGGACCTTTGTGGACCCAAAATTGCAACCCTCACTCCGCGGCGGAATACACCTACACTGTCACATTGGACTTGTCCAACCTCCGCTCGTACGTCCACTGTGCTCGCCATTCCTCCTCAAATTTCTCAGAGTGATACAGAGCCAGTCAAAGGGTGCCACTTCAACGTCATTTTTCGAACCTGGTCCGCACTATCGGCTCGACGACAGTAACCTCGACCCATCCATCGTCCGTTTCCGTCACGATTCATCATCCTCCACTAGACATCGAAACGAAGAAGCTGTGAGTCCGTGTCGTCTGAAAGGCCTTCCCGACGATCGAAGTCAGTCGGGAGGACTGTGAAAAGAGCCAAGACATAGTTGGCGGTGGGGAAGGGCACGTTGCTGATGCAGAGGTAAAAATTGAACTGCGAAGGTCAACTGTCGTTGACCGCTGCTTTTGAGAGTGGGCGAATGTGGCTGTGTGAGGGAATACGCTGGACTTTCAGTGCAGCTAGCTGGTAAATAATCGTTAGCTACCGAAGGTTCGGAATCGAAAAGGGTGTAAACTCACTTGACACTCCCAAACCGAGGTAAGCATGGCCAATGTGGGGACTCGAAGAAGCAAATATATTGGCACCCGAAGTCCGTCTTTGAAAAGTTTGCAGCTATGAAAATGGATGTCCAGAGAAGGTGAACTCGACAATGAGCCGGTTACTCACTTTGAGAGATCGGCACTGAAAAAGTTGTTGAGACGAAAAAAAGGAGACGTGTAGATTGCGTACCGTTATCAGGTACTGAGACTTGACATGCTACCAGAAAGAAGGTCAGCCGAGGCTCCCGCGTTGATCCAGTGCACTGGCAAAGTATGGCCCGATCATCTATCCAATAGACGTGTTCGGCGCTGACAACGGACTTCAATCTCTCGTCGAGGCAAAACTCTTGGTGGAGAGCAACGTCATGGTCGCAAATGGCATCGGTCGATACGAAGCTTGAGCGTGAGTACTCTGGGGTCGCTAAGGAGAGATAGACGAGACTTCTTCGAGAAGAACAATGTCGGGAAACTTGGGTCCTGTAGAAATGGGGCCGAGGATGAGCTCGGAGAGTGCGACGGGCCTCGACTGGGAGGCCTGGATATTCCAAGATGTGAGGGAAAGCGTCTGCTGGGGGGAAAGAATGCCTCTGGGTGATTGGGTCATGCGGGCCGCACAAAGGTATGGCTGCCGTTCAGCGTCGGCTGGCGTGGTCGAACAAAAAGTGCACGGCCGCGTCTGCTGCTGCTACAGCCACCAAGGTGCCAGTCGATCGTGAGTGACAAAAAATATCCCGGGCGATTGGAGTAAGATGGTAATCTGGTAGCGAGATCAGACCAGTTTCTATATAGAAAATTAGGCATAGTTTTAGACGCTTGTAGTAGGAAATGATACATACGGATAGAACACACAAAAGACTTATCCAAAAGCAACGCTGTTCTATCAAAAAAATTTAACCTGCATCATATTAAATCACAACAGATAACCAAAGACCCACCTCTTAATCGCCCCCCCTCCTTTGCTTCCTCAAATAATAGCACATACTTCCCGCAATACACAAATCCTGGACCCCACAAACGTCACACTCAACAGCCACTGAAGAATGGCGGAATGAGGTTCAAGAGGACCAGTTTACAGGGCTCTTTGGTGGACCACAGCGAATTCTGGTGAGGCGTTATTTAGTAATTGCGAGAGGAAGAGGACGTACAAACCACTTTAAGATATGCAGGTCATTATAATTACGAAAGCCTGAGGTGGAGAAGTAGATGTAGGTCTGCACCGTCACGATCCCGAACATGAAGCTTAGCACAGTAGATTCTAGACCCTGTATCGGGGAGTTCGAGGTAAGATACCTAGAGGGGCGTGGGTTCTTGCAGGAAGATACCTACACAAGAGATGAATCCGAGATGACTTGAACACCGCTAGAGAGCTTGAAAGACACGTCTCATGCTCTCCTCTCTTTTGGGAGGGGATCTGCTGTGGAAGTATATCTGGAGGGGATTGGATACTTGTACTTGATGGTCAATCGAGGGAGGTTGTGCGAGCATCACATCCGCGTTTACGGAAGTAGCAGATATTTATTTGGGCGCATTTATATTTATCCTGATCACCACGACGCCATGGACGCCAGCTCTTTTACACTTGCACGAAGCCCTTATCAAAGCGTATGGACGGGAATTCAAGCTCAAGGTGTACGCCGAGGGGATCCTGGGAGACTCGCATACGATGAAGTTTTCAGGATCAGTGGCCTGTAACTTCCATTTCAAAGCGATTCTCATCGGCCAAGGGTGCGAGGAAACCTCCACTGTGCTCCTCCGGCAGACTCTTTCGAGGACGAACGAACACAAACCACTTATATGCTTGAAAACTGCCCCGGCATCGAACCAGACTTTATGACTCCACACCCTCTCTCCAACCTTCCTCGCTCAATCAAAGGAATCATCAAGTACATGCGTACCAAAGGGACCTCGTCACCCAATCTGCACGCGGCTACATATCCATAGCCAAAACCTCAGGATACCAACTCACTGCCCATCACACTCCTCCTCTCCTCCCCTTCCCCCGTCTTTTCACCTCAGGACGAGTCACCTCCAACCTCCTCGGCCATTCTAGTTAAACACGAAAATATCCAACGTGAAGGGTATATCTTCCAAGGCCCCAACACAGAATAAACAACGCTCCTCCTCTTCCCATTCCCATCACCTCCGACTTCCAATGGAAGCAAACCGAAAGAAACGATGATATTCTCCCCGCCCGTCGCAGCGCTCTGCGGTTTCCTCTGTTCACCAAATGCACTGAGGCCAGGTGTGTGCGGTATCTGGCCCGCTGCACCCTCTCCCTGCGGATTTCGACGCTTGGGCCGATGTTTGCTTGTGTCTGTGAAGCGATGGGGCCAAGGGACATGGGGGAGTGTAGTATGGTGGATTTATGCGGGAATGCGGGATATGCTGGTGTCTGGGGGGTCGTTTGGGCGTCGAATGTGGGTCCTAGGCGGTGATTTGCTTCCGTTCTTGTGGATGGAGATAGGAACACAGATGTAAGTAGCGGTGGAGCGGTGGAGGGGCGCAAGAAGTGGTCGGGAATTTGTGGCCGCCACTGGAGGTCCCATGACAAGTTCGTGCCATGTCCTTTTTTTTTTGAGATGCTGCAATGCTGATGTAAGTTACACTACCAGAGCTCTCGACCTCCTCTTCAAATTCTTCACCTCCTGGTGTCTCCGTATCGTCCCGACGCTCATCCTTCAAGACATGTACCGAGCAATCGTTGTTCCCCGCTCCCACACCCTGCCCAAGACGCCATTACTCGCCCATGCTGCATAAGGCTCTCGTAGCGCTGGGGACAGTGTTTCTCGATGACCCAAACATCCGGGACTTCAAGTCCCGTTGTTGTTTTGCTGATGCTGCGAAGTGCTATCTAGAGGTGGAATGCCAAAAACCTCAGTTGAGCGTGGTGCACGCGTTCGACTTCATGGCTGCCTTCCATGCTTCTCAGGGGGATCAGACCCTTGGGTTCCTCTATTTTGGTCATTGAAGAGAGAGATTGTGTTACAGGCATGAGTGCCCGGATGGGCCAAGTCCGTTAGTACTTTCCCTGTATAATCCTCAACGCAATGTCTCTAAAATCTTTTCATCATAGTGGGTCTAGCTGTCGATTGCTCGGACTGGGTCAAACTCGGTCTCATCGACGAGACTGAGAGGCTTGACTGAAATTGGGCGCACTGGACCACATTCTTGCAGGTGAGTCAATCTTCCATCGTTCATAAATCATCCTCTTACATTCTCTTATGATTTCCCTCAGCACGTGTGTGTGACGTGACTTCTGTGTTACGTCCCCATTGAATTCCTCCTTCCCCCGTCCAAGCTTCGACTTCCGCGTCCTCCTTCTCCGCTACTCCATTCGAACATCTGAATGCATGGCGCTACTGAAATCCAGCGGCCGTCGCTCTTCAGCATGAAGATACCGGAGCAAGGATATATCGACGACAACGCAACCCCAGCTCCGATCGTTGTAGAAGGCCCTCCTCCTGTGAGCATGGACAACATGGGAGATAGACGGGGATACATCCACCAACAACGAGACCCGATCTACTCATTCACAGAAATGCCTTGGTTTCTAGCAAATCAAGCCGATTCTTTGTCGTCGCCATCAAGCTTTGATCTGGGCGGTGCTTTGTGGCGTAGCGTTGAACCGACGAATATTGGGGGAGATCGAGAATACCGTTGTGAGGATGATACGATGACGGATGAGGATCGTGCTGAGCCGAATTACTGGCTTCAGCAGCTGCTGTCGTAGTGAACTTTTTTTGAGCTCATGAAGGAAGTTGTTGGGTCTTTTTCGCTATGCTTTCTTGCGACGCTGTCCTCCATCCTCTCCGCCATGGCTGCTCAACTCTCAGCTCGCCAACAAACAGCTCTGTACGCGTAACGTATATCCATCCGTCGTTGTCACTAACATTCACGTTCATTATGACATTAACAGGCCCAGATTGATGCTCGATTACATCCACACGGCCGGATTCACAAAAACGTTGGACCAGTTACGAGAAGAAGTCCCGGATTTGGTGTTTATACCCCCCTCCATCGCCTTACCACTTGATCACTGATCTAACTTTGCTCCGACAAGGTCGCAACAAGGTTGAGCCGTCTGGTGGGTTGCTGGTCAAGAAATGGACGAGCGTGATCAGGATGCAAAGAAAGGTGTGTTCTAACCTCGCTACTTTACCTCCCTCATGAAATGAACAACGCCTCAATTCGCAGATTTAGGATGTGGAATAACGCCTCGCCCAAAATCAACGCTGATAGCTTTCGTCGGCTTCTGTAGACGCGCAGGTGAAGATCTGGGACTGGGATTCGCGGGAATTGGAGACGTTGAAGAGCCATACGAAGGCGGTCCCGGATTGTCAGTTTGATTCGACGTTTGGGTGAGTGTTTTTGTAGTGCTGCCGAGTGGTCATGTGGGCTAAGGGATTGGATATAGCGTCTTGTTCAGATGATCTGTTTTCAAAGCTGTGGAACATCCCTTGACGACTACAAGAATTTCGACATGGACATTCCATCTCGAGTGTTTCCTTCTCATGAGGAGAAAATTTAGTCGTCTCGTCTAGTCGGAGTCATACTGTCAGAATGTGGGATCTACAAACAAGGTGTGTTTTACCCCACTCCCTCTTTGCCTGATTAAACTCCTCACTGAAGTCATTGTGTTACAGACAATACGGCCACACGAATACTGGATCTGCTCTGCCATTCCAATTTCCCGGTCCGGACGGTCGGCTTCTCTTAACATGCTCAGACGACCACGTAGGCGTTTCGTTCCCAGTCTATAGCGCTCTTCATTTCTTACCTTGGAAGAAAGCACTTAAATCCATTTCTTTCCCCTTCCCTACCTGTGGACTTCCTGAGTCGAACATAAACGTGTCCAGCCTTCCACCATCCAGTCCGCGAAAGTGGACTCCCTTCCCAGCAAATCAAGCCGATACTCCCTCTTCATCACCATCAAGCTTCACTCTGCGCAGTGCATTGTGGCCCAGCGTTGAACTGGTGAATTTCAGGGGAGATCGAGAATACCGTTATGAGGATAATGCGATGACGGATGAGGATCGTGCGAGGTTGAATCATTGGCTTCAGCAGGTGCAGGAGTCGTAGTAAACTCAAGGATGATACTGTTGGGCTTCTTTTGGGCTGTTTCGCTATGCTTTTCTATCGTTTCTTGCGATGTCGCCGTTTTGCACGCCGCCAATGATACCATTTATCTTATACCATACGTCTGACACCTCCCCATTATATGTAAATATGTCAAACGTCGTCGAGAACCAAGTATTCATCAGAACTTGCACCTTTGGAGTTACATAACAAATGCGTCGACATCTGGCCACGATATGGACATCCTCTGCGTAACGCATTCATTCGCAAGGCCTTTGCATCCACGCAAAGAGGAAGATCTATCTACTTCTTGTCAACACATGCATGCATCTAATCACTCATTCGATTGGTCCTGCTTGTCCCGCAGACCTAGAAGACGAACACTCTATCAGTCCACACAGCACACCCAAGACGAGTAACACCTACCTGGGGTGGTACCAAACGAGTCCCAGGGGCGCGCCGGCCGAGGTACCAGTAGAACTGCAGATGTGAAACGCAGGGGGATCTTCCTTCCTCCCTTGAGGCCGACAGGAGACTCGAGGTGATAGTGGGCCGTCAGTCAAGCGAGCCAGGAGCCAAGTGTTGCTTTCGGGAGGTAAGATCACCAACGTCCCACATCCTCAATAAGCAGACGGACGATGGAAATCAGGGTTTCCAGATCTTAACCAACTGAAATCAAGAACATTGAGATTCGTCGTCAGACGGAGGTAGAGGGATAACAACAGTACCTTGTCCGTTCCACCCGTAGCCAAAACATTAACGATCCTCTCTGGCTCGTCGTTCTTCGCGTCCGTCAGGGGTGCAGGTCCCCATGCTACGCATTGTACGAAGGGGCTGTGTGCTTCGACTATCGAGAGGTAGAGAGGGGAAAGAAGAAACGCGTTTAGTTCAGAAAGAAGGGGAAGTGTGGGTGAAGAAAACCTTTTCGCAAGCATCGGCCAGTCTTCAAATCCCAAATCGGCAGGGTATGGTCGTCCGCTACTGAGAGGAGGTATTTCTCACATGGGTGGAAGGTCACTGCTTGAACCCAGCCGTCATGGCCGACCTGGAGTTCATCAAAAACGAGGTGTTAGAAGAGATAAGACCCTATAGAGTAAGAACTGACAAAAGTCCATAAACATTGACCCCTCAACGCGTCCCAGAGCCTGATCGTCTTGTCACGAGACCCTGTTATGACGAATGAGATCCCCAGGGAGTCGACTTTCGCGGACTGGACCGTGGAAGGCTAGATATGTTTATGCTCGACTTAGCAGCAACTCTACGGGAAGAAAGGAAGGGATTTACCACAGCTACCAGTTCCCGCACAGATGGAATAGATACTGGAGGTACGAATACGGCGCATTCGATACGATTGCCGTGACCTCGCATTTCCGCCTTTAGTGCGGATGACTCTAGGTCTGTGATTCGCGCCGTCTGGAAGGAAGATGAGGTCAGGAGTGTAATACATTTATGGACTGGGAGCGAAACGCGTACGTGGTCGTCTGAGCATGTTAAGACAAGTCGACCGTCCGGACTGGGAATGGCAGACCGGATCCATTCTTCGTGTGATCTTATGACTTTTACACAATGACTTCGATGAGGCGGTTAGTTAGGTAAAAAAGGCAGTGGGGGATAACACACCTTGTTTGGACATCCCACATCCTGACAGCATGATCCCGACTCGACTCGACGACGTGAGTGTCTCCTGGTAAAAAAGAAACGCTGGAGATGGAATGTTCGGGTCCTCTGAGGGTAGCGAAGTTCTTGTAGTCATCAGGGACGTTCCACAGCTTCATAAAGAGATCGTCCGAACACGTCGCTACATCGAATCCCTTAGCCCACATGACCACTCTGCAGTTTTAGACAAAACACTCACCCAAAACTTTCCCCGTCGAATTTTACTGACAATCTAAAACCGCCTTCGTATGGCTCTTCAATGTCCTCTCCAATTCCCCCGAATCCCAATCCAGATCTTCATCGCGTCTACAGAAGCCGACGCTACAACATCCTTATATGCGCGTTTCGAGCCATCGGAGGTCTAGGCATGCGATAATTCTTCGACGGCTGGGGCGAGGCGTGATTACAGATCCATAATCTACGAATCGAGGCGCCGTTCATTTCATGAGGGAGGCAAGGTACGAGAGTGGAACACACCTTTTCATGCATCCTGATCACGCTCGTCCAGTTCTTGACCAACAACCCACTACTGGGCCGACCTTGGCGGAGGAGGTAAGGCGAAGATGGGGGGTATAAACACCAAATAGGGAGCTTCCTCTTGTAAGTTTTTGTGAATCCGGCTGTGTAGAGGTAAGTGATCGAGCATCCATTTGTGCCTGTTCATATCATGAAGGTGAACGTTAGTGACAAAGACGGATGGATATAGGTTGCGCGTACAGATCTGTTTGTTGGCGAGCTGAGAGTTGGGCAGCCATGGCGGGGAGGATGGGGAGGACAGCGAGGCGGAGGTGGAAGAGGTGGAAGAGATATTATTTACAGATCACCTGACGACGAACTCAGACATCTCCATGTCGGAGACCGATGCGATGATGCCGTTATATGGGGAGAGCACTTGTTTCGTCACACACAGCGCTGAGTCGAAGCCAACAGGTCATTGAAGAGAGGTTGGACCGACGCAACCTTCGTGAAGATCCATACCCGCGCGAAAACATGATACCTCGTATGCTGTTCCTTGATCTCTTTCAACCAACTTCATGCGGACATCCGATATACACCACTCCATGGACGCGACGCCAGCTCTTCATACACTCTTCTTGCGCTGGCCGAGGGGATCCCGGAAGGGTCGCATACAATGAAGTTTTCTTGTAACTTCTTTCTTCCCCTTCCATCTCAAAGCAATTCTCATCGGCCAAGGGTGCAAGGAAACCTCTGTGCTCCTCCGGCAGACTCTTTTAAGGGTGAACGAACACAATCCACTTATACCCTTATGAACCAATCAATACACCGCTCTCCCCACCCTCTCTCCAACCTTCCTCACTTACTAGTCAAAGGAATCATCAAGTACATACGTACCAAAGGGACCTTGTCACCCAATCCGCACCCGGCTATCCATAGCCCAATTCGCCCATCACACTCCTCCTGTCCTCCCCTTCCCCCGTCTTTTCCCCCCAGGACGCGTCACCTCCAACCTCCTCATCCATTCTGGTTAAACACGAAAATATCCAACGTGAAGGACATATCTTCCACGGCCCCAACACAGAGTAAACAACGCTCCTCTTCCCATTCCCATCACCTCCGACTTCCAACGGAAGCAAACCCAAAGAAACAATGATATTCTCCCCGCCCGCCGCAGCGCTCTGCGGTTTCCTCTGTTCACAAAATGCACTGAGCCAGGTGTGCGCGGTATCTGGCCCACTGCGCCCTCTCCCTGCGGATCTCGACGCTTGGGGTCGATGTTTGCTTGTGTCTGTGAAGCGATGGGGCCAAGAGACATGGGGGAGTGTAGTATGGTGGATTTATGCGGGAATACGGGGTATGCTGGTGTCTGAGGGGTCGTTTGGGCGTCGAATGGGGGGTCCTAGGCGGTGATCTGCTTCCGTTCCTGTGGATGAAGACAGGAACACAGGTGTAAGTGGTGGTGGAGCGGTGGAAGGGCGCTGAAAGTGATCAGGAATTGGTGGCCGCCACTGGAGAAGGAGGTCCCATGACAAGTTCGTTCCATGTTTCTTTTTTTTTCTTTGAGGTGCTGCAATGCTGATGTAAGTTGCACTACCAGAGCTCTCGACCTCTTCTTCAAACTCTTCACCTCCTGGTGCGTCTTCCTTCAAGACATGTGCTGAGCACTCATCGTTCCCCGCTCCCACACCCCGCCCAAGACGCCACATTACTCGCCCATGCTGCATAATGCTCTCATAGCACTGGAGACAGCGTTTCTCGATGACCCAAACATTCGGGACTTGAAGTCCCGTCGGTGTTTTGCCGATGCTGCGAAGTGCTATTTAGAGGTGGAATTCAGTTGAGCGTGGTGCACGCGTTGGATTTCCTGGCTGCCTTCCACGCTTCTCAGGGGGATCATACCCTTGGGTTCCTCTATCTTGGTCATTGAAGAGAGAGATTGTATTACAGGCATGAGTGCCCGGATGGGCCAAGCCCGTTAGTACTTTCCCTGTATAATCCTCGGCGCAATGTCTCTAATTATACTATAGTGGGTCTAGGTGTCGATTGCTCAGACTGGGTCAAACTCAGTCTCATCGACGACAGTGAGAGGCTTGACTGAAATTGGGCGCACTGGACCACATTCTCGCAGGCGAGTCAATCTTTCATCGTTCATAAACCATCCTCTTACATTCTCTTATGATTTCCCTTAGGACGTGTGACAGTGTTGGTCCCTGTACATGGGACGTGACTTCTGTGTCACGTCCCCATTGAATTCCTCCTTCCCCCGTCCAAGCTTCGACTTCCACGTCCTCCTTCTCCGCTACTCCATTCGAACATCTGAATGCATGGCGCTACCGAAATCCAGCGGCCGTCGCTCTTCAGCATGAAGATACCAGAGCAAGGATATATCGACGACAACGCAACCCCAGCTCCGATCGTTGTAGAAGGCCCTCCTCCTCCTGTGAGCATGGACAACATGGGAGATAGACGGGGATACATCCACCAACAACGAGATCCGATCTACTCATTCACAGAAATGCCTTGGTTTCTAGCAAATCAAGCCGATTCGTCGTTGTCGTCATCAAGCTTTGATCTGGGCGGTGCTTTGTGGCCTAGCGTTAAACCGATGAATTTCGGTTATGAGGACGATGCGATGACGGATGAGGATTGTGCTGAGCCAAATTACTGGCTTCAGCAGCTGCTGTCGTAGTGGACTTTTTTTGAGCTCATGAAGGAAATTGTTGGGTCTTTTTCGCTATGCTTTCTTGTGATGTCGCCAATTGCCCGCCGCCAGTGATGCCATTTATCTTGTACCATACGTCTGATACCTGCCTATTGTATGTAAACGTGTACTACTCCGTCAAAAGTTGTCGGAATGAGAATTATTTATTAGCTAACTACGCTGCATAAGCAACTCAGGTAACTACCGAAATAGCGACCTTGCTAGCTAAGTAGTAATCATAAGATCATTACAAGGTGGTACAAGGGGGACGTTGGCCGGACTAGCACTCCCCAAACTGTAAAAGCTACCACCGGTGGCATAACACCAAGTTGAAAGGAAAGGTCTGCAGAGTAAGGAATGGGAAAGCCAAGAAAATAAAAACCACCCTACGGAACGTCAGTATGATCATGTTGAATGACGACGGATGGGCAAAAACAGAAACTTGGCGAGGGTGCATGATGATCAATGGTGCAGTTGATATTCTTGGATGATGGTAAGTGAGGATGTAGGGGCGGAATTGCTGAGGTTGAATGGAGGGAGAGTGGTTGGCTTGGGGGAACTGGCAAGAGCAGCAATCATTGAAGCAGTTGCTAACATGTGGTCGTCGTAATGGCGGGTTCCAAGGGTAAGGAGGCATTTCGTAGGCCTCTGCGCCAACTCAAAACTCCGCCAGGAAAAGATTCAGCTCCGCAGAGTCTTTTCCCCTTGAGCCCCGCTCATCAACCATGGTTGCGACATCGATCCCTGACTCAGTGCCAAAGTTTGGCAGATGCTGGGTTAGGAGAAGTCATCGATGTCGCTTCCCTCTCCTGTGCTGGCCCTCTCTCTCAGACCACGTCTACCCAGCACAGGTAAGCGCTCCGCGCTCTCTTTTTTATGCGCCGCATACTCATCCAAATGTCAGTGATCTCCACACCTAGGCTCCGCCTATCGTTTACTACAAACGCTCTCCAATCACTGCGCATTTGGTGAGGCTTTCGTCATATTGAGCATCATCCTCATTCTTACATCCCTCTAGTTCAGACTTTGTCTGCTAGATTGTAAGAAGCATTGTAAGGCCTCGTTCAGCTCAATACTCATGTATCGTGCCTCTCGCAGAATCTCTTCAGATTTTCTTTGGTTTGGGGCTCGCCTTGCTTCGGCGACCCCTTGTTGTGCTACCATCACCTCGTGATCTCTCCACCTTTGAACAGCGCAGCAGAGGTGTGTCATACCAAGTACTATCACGTGGGGGGAGTTGGACCGTCGTATTGGGTTGGACCATTTCACTATTACATCTCTTCCTTCTTCCACGATCATCTGATGGCCTCCAAGAATTGGTGATAGATAGATAGATGTCTCTCAAACTGATTCAGGTTCTTTACACAATTATTTCTAACTTGTGGCTTGTTCTCGAGACAAATGTAAAGTATTTACACCAAGGTGTGACACATCCAAATTTGATAGATACACGAGCATATGGCCAAATTTTGTTCAAAAAACTATCTCAAGTATATCATATAATCTGTTTCAATGTATTCTAGTAATTGAATCCCGTCCAAGTGCTCTGTGAAGTGCATATTGCGGGGACGGCTAGTTACACCACGGATCCTGGTGACACAAGTTGAGACTCCGCTGCATGCACCTGTCGCGGTCTCGTGCCAATTGCGACACGTCTAATGTCCAGCCGCAAATCTCGGAAAGAGGCTGCACATAATGCTGAAGCTCAGATCACTGCTGCTATCGCTTTCCGTCATGAGAAATCACTGGACGTCGGGGTCAAGACACCCAGCTACGCATCTCTTGCTGTCCAGTTTGGTGTCAAGAAAACAACCCTCCACAGCCGATACCTTGGCCTTCATCAATCTCCTAGGACTGCACACGAGAAGCAAAAGATCCTTACGGCAGCTCATGAAGATGTTCTGTTGGAATGGATGTTCCACCATGCTGATGAAGCAAGGCCCTGGGGTCGCGAGAAAATTCGCTCCAAGGTTTTCAAGATGATAGGTCGCCGGCCATCGTTGGACTGGGTCACAGCATTTAGGGTGCGACACGAGGAGGTGTTGAAGTTTTGTGGGACGTCGGGCTTGGATCCTTATCGGGCTCAAGCATTCAATCCATATTGCATTGCTGATCATTTCCGAAAACTTGGGGCAGCGAGGGAAGAGTATCAGTACAAGGTTTGGAACATATACAACTTCGATGAGACAGGAATGCAGATTGGTGGAGGGAGGAAAAGGACGGGCAAGAAGTTCTTCATAGCTCGTTGTTCGCGAGCGAGGTACAAGCAGCGGGATGCGAGTTTGGAACTCGTCACAGTTGTCGAGTGTGCATGCGCAGATGGAACAATGCTGGATCCTGGGTTCATATTCCAAGGCGGACATACCTATGACCTTGACTGGTTTTTGGCAGAATTCCCTAACATCTCGTGAGTGTCCAATTCATTAATTTTGCCAATTTGTCTGACAACATTGAGTAAACAGGATCGGACTGACGCAGAATGGCTGGACAGACGACTATCAATGCTTGAAGTGGTTCGGGGATGTGTTCATCCCTCAGGCCCGTGCAAGGGCCGCCAAGTTCGGAGACGTCGATGACCTGATTCTCCTCACATTCGACGGTCACAGTTCCCACCTGACCGACGACCTTCGTGAAGACGCAATTGAGAACAACATCCATTTCCACAAGTTCCGTGCACATACCACACACAAGGTTCAGCCATGCGATGTTGGATGCTTTGGGCCTTTGTCAAAGAAATGGCTGGAGAGAATGGAGGACATTGTTGAGGAGACGGGAGAAGGGTTGCGGAAACAGGATTTCGTCAAGGAGTATATGGCTGTGCGGGCAGCATCCATCGATAAGGAAAGTGTTCTAGCAGCATTTCGTAAGACAGGCATTGAACCTTTCAATCCGGACATCTTCACTGTTGAGGACTTCGCACCGAGCCATGTTTCCTCCACAAAGGCCCACATGCCGCCATCATTCCCCAACGCAACAACGGGAGGCTCTGCCAGTGCTAGCGATGTCTTGATGGAATCAACACCACCATCCCCTTTGCTCGCAGCCGCCGATGATGCACCAGCAGCAATGTGTTGCAGTCCGGCTCTTTTAACCAACACTCATCGTGAGGAGAACTCTTCGTCAACGATACCAAGTTGTTCAGATGCCGAGTTCATCCCAGCCGCTGATAACTGTGCTGTGGGTTCGGATGGTCGCCTTCTCGATGCATCACAGATCTCCTGGGACTATGACTCTGATGGTCAAGACATACCAATGCTACCATTGTCACCCAATGCTCCGTCACCACCGCCACCTGTCAAGGCCGCTCCCATTCACTTCTGGGGTCCCAAAGTGCCCGAATTTGCTCCTTCAATCATCGATAGGCGCGCACCACTCGCTCGGCAGCTCGAGACTACTCAGAAGGACTTGAATGACGTTCACCAGCTTTATCTGAAGGAGTTTCAGCAAAGACAGAAGCTCGAAATGCATGCTGAACTTGCCGGACTGGAGATTGAGAAGTTGAAGACACAGATGCAGCTCAAGAAAGAGAAAACCGAGGGACGGAAAGGAAGGCAGTTTCACTCTGCGGCTGAGTTTTTGATGTCGAAGGAGGCATTGGCAACATGGGAGGTGGAAAAGAAGGAGAAGGCGGAGAAAGAGATGGTGGAAAAGGAGAAGCTTGAGGCCAAGACTGCACTCGAAAAGGGCAACGAAGAACGCCATGCCCGGCTCACTCATGATGCGACGATTCACTACCACGGGAGTCTGAGATCAAAACGCAAGGCAGAACTCGAAGACATCGCATGCCTTCTTCACATATCATTCACACAAAAAACAACAAATTCACAGCATGCCGATGCTATCGTGGCCCATCTGAGTGCTACACCAGAGCTCGCGGACGATCCACGATTTGAAGGCCTTTACACCAATATCAAATCACCAATTTCACGTGCTGCGGAAGACCACTTGGCAACATCACCAGCCGCGGCAGAAGGCTCTCAAATTGCATCCACCTCAACTATAAATGCATCGATCCTCGTACCACCACCTTTTCCTCAAATCCGAACCAACGAAACCAACCAGGATACTGAAAACATCCCACCTGGGCCACCTCTGTTATCAGCCTCCCATATTGTGCACATTCCTCCGAAGTCAATCAAC